AAGATGGTGCTTTTATTTTGGGGTGGTGTGAGTGAAACTTGTGTAACCCACAGAGGCATTAGTAGGGGCCCAGGTCTGTCAGGAGTGGCAGCGGCCACCAAGGGGGTGGCAGGTCCAGCTTCCTCTGAAATTCCCCACCATCAGGAGGGCAGCAGTTACAAAGTAGTAATGACTAATATTTTTTTCAGATTGAGCATCACTTATTTGAAATGCTCAGGATTAGAAGTGTTTAACCTTTTAGTCTTTTCCGATTTGGAAATATCAGCATATATATAAATGAGATATCTTGAGTGTGGGATCCAAGTCTCAGCACATGGGATGGGTCAGACAAGGGATTTTCTGCTGCCTTTTGTCTCTCGAAAGAATGTTCCAAGAACAAATTTTGGGGGCTGAATCTTTGGCACAGCAGCACTCAATCACGGAGACAGGAAAGTAGCTACATATTGTTGGTGAAAGATCGATGGCTTCAATGCATCATGCGTCAAGGGCGCATTACTGTAATAAACACAGGTTGCTGACATAAGTATTTTCTTTAGGTCTTGCTATGAGATAGGAACGAAGGGGGAAGAAGATTTAGGCTTGAGACAGAAGGAGAAGGCAATAATTCAGAAATATTTTCAAGGATGGGAATGTTTCCAGGGATGGAAAGCCGAAGAGTAGAAACCAGAATACCAAGAGATAATCTTTTTAAAACCATAATTTAAGTTTATAAAAGTGTCCCAGCTCTTTAAAATATTTATTTTTATTGAAAGTACGGTATTTAGCAGCTGTTTTTGTTGCCTTATCAAGTTCTAATGAATTTCAGATGGAAGGCATAAGAGGCATTTTATAAAAAGATTTAGCTTTGAAAAAGAAAGGTACACTTTCATTTCTTTTTCAACATACACAGATAAAATGTTCCTTCATGTGCATATTCATTATAGTTTCCTGATACGCAGTGCAGTTTGGATTGCCATCTTGTGTTCTCCCCAGGAGAGATGTGAGCAGGCAGCGCAGGGGCATACGTCTGTTCCTCTGTATTTTCACATGGGTGTTAAGAGCAGAATCTTCGAAGCAGTGTTATTTTGCGAAGTGCGAGACACCTGGTCACCGTGCATAGGGCCTTAGACTCTTCTGCTCCCACTCCTGCAGCAGATGCCCTCTGCCCCTGTGTCCCATCTCCCTGTGGCAAATCTGCCGTTCTCTTCAGCAACAGTGTGCTCAGCATCTACTGCTCGGTTCATGCTCTAGTTTTTAGAAAACCAAGATGTGATTCTTGTGTTCAAGGAGCTTGAGGGTCAATTACACTACTAGCCATCTTAGCAGTCTAAACCAGAACTTCGGCAGGTTTGTTTTTTTCTCTTCTTATGAAGCTTGATTATTTAAAGAACCACTTTCCAAAAAAATCACTGATTGAAATCCTGGAGCCAGTTTGATGTTACATTCGATGACTGCATCTGTGTGCATGCACGTCTCTGTGGCTGTTGATAATGTACTGTATGGTCACTAGATGGTGCTCTTTCACTTAGAAATACATTACTTTCTAGTGAGGGTTTTCCCTTGATGCAGAGGTTGTAGACAATCACATTTTACCTTCAATTGAATGGGAGACTCCCTGTCCCTCTACAGGTGCATAGGGATTTTAATGTGATTATCCCACCTGGGCAGGTTACCATACATCTCAGTACTTACTGTTAATTGTGTGTGTGTGTGTGTGTGTGTG